ACTCGGTCCTTCAGAATAGATTCCAAAAGTTCAGGAACGTTCAAGTCTGGTGAATTACCCGGCCACACAGGGGGCTTTGTCGTGCAGTAAAGTCATCTCTTCGGAAATACGCTTCGACCCAGCCTTGGTCGTGCGGTTTCTTCATATGCGGGCAATGAAAAGGACAAAAACGTTCACACAATCATGAGTTTTGAGTAACTCCTGGTACTGCTCTTTGTCGAGGGATTCGTTTGGAGTGTTTGGCCCATATCCTGTCATTTTGGGAATTTGGTTTCCTGGCCACGTAAAAGAAAAATTCGTCGCTGACACCGACTTTTTGGACTCTGTCTTCACCCCCTACACTTACCGACTTGTAGCCGTCCACCAGGCAACACCAACTATTGAGTGGTTTGCTGAGATGTATAATTAAGTTATCTGAAAGACGCCATTTTTGTTTGTTTGTACTTCTATCGGTTTCTTCTGTGCAAGGGAGGGGCAATTAATTTGATTTCATACCCAATATATATATACGTATATATATATATATATATATATATATATATATATATATATATATATATATATATATATATATATATATATATATAAATATAAATATATATATGAGATTACTTGCTTATGACGTCTTTACTTAGATGATAGGAAACTCCTTCTTTACTGATTGGTGTTGTGGGTTTATATTTTCTCTACTAATTGGTATCATGGGACCAATTTCCTTCGGTGTGATTGGTCTGAGGACTCTGGAATTTCTCTACTGATTGGTTAGGCGGGCCTGAAACCTCTCCATTGATTGGTTTGACTGCCGGCCATTGACTTCCCTCCTCACATTGTTACGACTGATCTAGGACCATTTAACCTCTTAATAAAACGTTATTTAATTATTTCCCATATTTGGGTTAATTATAGTCGTAAATTTTCTACATTAATTACTCAAATAATTAATCTGACCATTACTCTAGTCTTTGATCTAATGCACTTAATTTCTCCTACATACTGATGCAATGGTCAAGATTTCCATGTTTATTTCCCTAATGGATTAATACATCCATTGGTTATTTGTTTCGTCTGTCAAATTGATCTAATGGTCATAATTTTTTTCCCAATATTGTACCAATGGCAGTGATTTTCCTCTACACAGAAACATAATGGCCATCCTTCTTCTTTATACATTCACAAAACAACATTCATTTACCTCTATATAATAATCTAGTGGTGAGAGAATTCCTCTATGCATCATCCTTATAACCATAACACCACTCCAATATAGGTCTGTCTTTACTGGCCATTTAATGCGTTTATTAGAATCACAATTACTATTAAGAAACACACAACATAACCGACTCACCTCAAGCCATCAAAGTTGTTGTTGTCATCATGTTATTACTGCGCTACAACAACGAAAGACTTAAGCACGTAACAAGGTTAGTAATACACTTGTCTAACAACGGTAACAAATTATAAGAGATATAACTCTTTGTTAACGTCAGCAGAGACACTGCATTTCTGTTTCATTTTTTTCCTGTGAAATATTTTTTTCTTCCAACACGATTAAATTGGTATATTTAGTGATTTAGTTCGTATCATTATATTCAATGTTACTTCTAGGAGTTGAACCTCTTGACTATTATCCAAATTACCTGAATATAATAAACTAGTTTTGTGTGGGAATTGTTTATGTAACCCAACGGGTTAAGTCATTGTATTCTAGTTAAATATCATACTGAAGGGGTTATGATTTCTTACTCAATGAGCCAATTCATCGCGTTCAGGTGACCTGTATTGTACTCAAGGGGTTAAAATTAAATGACGATAACTGAAGATAGGTCCACAACCAGACGATGTTATGTATCTGTCTATATGTAAATTAGATCTATCATGAAATACCTTCCAGCTCACCACACAGCTTTATGATAAACTCTCTACCCCAATACTTACATTTTTTCTCCCACACACCCGACAAAGTACTCCTAATTAACACTACTTGTTACAACTACCTATTCCCACACTGTTCTTTTAACTGGATATCAATATATTCTTTTAATAATATATCAAATTTATAAATCTGTCTATTCAAACTTTATTTAGTCAATTAGCTGCTCACTTTTTTTTTTAACTATGGTGGGATATATTTATTTGTAATTTATACCTAGTCATCGTATGGCGTTTTTCCACTTTCAAAAATAAATCCATGTTTAATCTCTAATGGTGTTTGTGTTCTTGTGAGATTTACTCAAATCAACTCCAAACATTCATTCATACTCTTTTTCTCTTCGGTTTTTATGTTCTCATTTTTAATTTTATATTCCTTGTATTATTTTTGTATTTGTTATTTTTTTAGTTCCCAGTATTTTATACCTCGATTTTCTGCTTTAATTTCATCTTTATTTTTCTTCCAATTACGCAGAGCCGAAAATAGCCAATGGTCAATAAAGGTTTTATTCAATAATGAATAGTGAGTTTTATTACATGGTCGTATTGTAAAGCAAACGTATTGTTTATATGTTATTGGGTGCATCAACGTTTTCTGCCCGGGGCTGATCGAGCCTCGTATAAACAATGAATCAACTAATGGTTACAGTGAGTTGATGATAGGTATTACCACAATAGGTAGCAAGTCATGGTTAGCATCAATTAGCTTTTTATATCTTATGGTTAACCTTATTTCTAGTTAACATTAGTTACTTTCTTATTAGTTACAGATAGTTTAAGTTGTACTAACCTCAAGTTTACAGTTAGAATTAGTTTCACTCTGCAAGTGAAATTAGTATTATATAAATTTCGCATTAGGTAGCTAAATGCTCGGTTACAGACAATATAACTTACAGTTACCGTGAGTAACAGTCACCTTCTACCCAGTTGATCAATAATAATTACATCAGTCGGTTAATATCCTTCTCATCTCTTATCAATTGATCATTAACCAAGTCGAACAGTGCACTTTGCCCACTGAGGAATTTAATTATCTTTGAGACTATTCCTGTTGATTAGTCTAGTCATCAAGACACTGTCCTCTCGTAAATTTAATGGAAGTGGTTACTTCGCCGAGAATTCCCGACTATGTAACCACTTTCTAAATCAATTCACCTTAGTAACAGCGCCTGTCAAATGGTCAATAATCTTCGTCAATGGACTAAACAGTATAACCAAACTTTCAATTATATATTTATACATAATTATTTCTGTTTTTTCTATATAAAGAACATATTATTCTGTAATCCTTTCAAAACATGAAATAAAGTCTCATGGCGTAGAGCTTTTGGTTGATTGACACGTTAAATTAGTTCGTACATTGAGTCAATTCCTCACAATATTCAGTTTTTTAGTCAAAATCAATACAATATGTTGACATCAAAGTCGTATGGAGTTTTATAAACATAATATACACAGAAATAATACAATAATGCAAAACAACACAAAAATTTAACATGGAGAACAAATTCTAATGTTATGTTAACGACGCCCCATTCTTCCAAGACGCTTCACTGTGAGGGACAGCCACGATGAGTGTGTCAACCTTCAAGCCAGTCTCCCATTATACAGTACTTACTTACTTTGACCTCTCTGTTCCCCTAACCCCCTCCCCCTTGTGTTATTTTCTTAATGTATTGTTCCACTTTTCCTTCCTATTATGTTTGTAGTCTCCCTTTACTCATTATACCTGTTACATTGCCTCTATACACCCGCTTTATTATCCTCTCCTGTATTCTTCTTACATCTTCATTCCAACTCATCGAACTTCCCTTCTCGTCTTCCATTACCCCACAATATACTCCTTTTGTCCTCTCTGTAATTTCAAACACCCAATATATTTCATTATTTCCTACTTCTTCCATTCTGGTTACCTGAGACACCTCTCAGGTAACTCCTCTGTGTAGCTGGAATAGTGGAACATTCCGCCTCTTTCTAAGTTCATGTTTCTTTGCCGTCATTTACTATCTTAAGCTCCTTCTATAGCTCTAAGTTTATAGTCCTTCCCTAGAAAATAATTCCTAGATGTCCGATCACCTTTCTTCCTTGTAGTGTTCCCTCTACCCACTCTGGTCAGTGCGTTCCTCTGAACCACCTTTACCTTTCTCTTTCTACTATTTACTTTCAGTTCTCTAAGTCACTAACCTTTTCTAGTTCAGTTACGTTGTGGCATCATCCCACCTTCCAGCTCAAGCCTCGCAGTTTAAATAAGTAATGATATAAGGGAATGTTAAGAATAACCTCACTCAGCATACGAGAGACAGACGCGTGGTTCTATTTTCCCATTAACATATTTTTAATATGAAAATATTTGAGAAATACAATATATAACAATCAAACACTGGTCCTCCGCAGCTGACCTAGGTAAGCTAAAACATATCAGGCAGCTTGCTTTGCACTCTGCAGCGACCCCCCGCGCCCCTTCACCTCTGTAGGTCAGCAGCTCTCTGCTCTCAGTAGGTGTGACACCGCGCTGGTGGCAGGACGTCCTTTTGGGCTCCTAGCGCTGCTGGCTGGCTCCCCCTTGCTCTCTAGCCCTAACAGGCGGACAGTTACACAGGGGTCGCTCGATCTCCTATCATATGTGTATTATTCTCACCGTGGATTAAACTCCTCTAGTGTAGGTTGCATAACAGCCACAGGAAACATTGAGTTATTATCTTTATTTTTTTATTTTTTTTTATTTACCTTTTTTTTTCTTGCGTTCGAGTTACGTCTGTAGTTTGAGAAAGAAAAATTTTCCATATGAAAACAAAAATGCTTATTTGTATTTTGTCATCATGTTGTGATGTACTGCTTATGGGTGAACATAATGTGGAATGTGTTTAATATATATTCATGATGAGTGTGGAAAAATGAGTTAGGTGCGTCGTGACAGAAAACTACTGCCCAGTAACTTACTTCAAAAGTAGACGGGAAAGTTGTAACTGCACTTCCCTTGAAATTTAATGCATAAAGTACATGGAAAAAAGTCGTACAACATGAGGTAGATACTTTGTTATTTGTCAAGTGCGGGGGGGGGGGGACGGGAACATTTATTTAAAAGTTCTTCCCACGAAGTCCCATTGGTATCACAAACGTGTAGATAATGATGATGAACACTGCAGAGCGTATCTATGATGATAAAAGTTCACAGCCACACCGGGATACCTCGACAACTACCACCACCATCAAACCTACGGCACCAGACGCTGAGGTCCTCGCCAACTACACACAAATTTACACTAACATCGTCGGCTGTCTCGTGTCCGAGTCTGATAGTCTCAACTTGACCCTTGGGGAAGGATTTTGGCTCCCTATCCTCTACGAGTCCTTACAGCTTCCCTACAATGTCACCACCGCTGCCTTCTCTCAGCCCTACACTACCACGACAGTCTCCTACGAAACGTACAGCTTCGCAAATGGCGACGACGACCAGGTGCGCAGTACGACCTCATACTGGTCAGGGGAACAACCAGGTTTCCCACGAGACAATGACCAGTTGCCATTGGAGGTAATCAGGGAGATATGGCAGCGATGCTTCTTCCGCACCCCCGTCATGGCCACACACCGGCCCTACTTGCTGGTGTGGTGGCAACAGTTCCTATGGACCTTGGTATTCGGAGCCATGATGGCCATGGCCGTAGGCGGTAACACCCTCGTCATGTGGATCATATGTGGTGAGTATCCTCACCCTCACATCCAGATGTTACACAGGCATGATATTGGGTTTCATATCAGCAATGTCAGTATCAAGGCCTGGCTAGATTATTCCGATGGTAGGATCTGGCAAAGTGGGTAATACAGGCTATTGTGGTCATGTCATATTGGATAACACAAACGACCATTGTGGCAGCACCAGACTACACTTAGCTCGGAGGCACAAACCCCGAATCCTGGTTATTGTGGGTAATAGAAACAACTTCGTCTGGTTTTGTCAGAAGTGCTGCTATTGTTTTGTTTTTCAATTATGCGAATATTAAATAAATCATACTGTGCTTGTTCTGAGCAGTACTCAGCTCCTCATTCCCCTTTTCTTATTTTTTGTTTGCGAGGGAGTTTAATGAATTGTGTGTTTTTCAGTACAAATTATGACGAAAGTTTATCATATAAACGCGTCCCTTAACTCCCTGGATGTTATACTACTTGTGATGACCTATACAGTAGTCATGCAAATATATCACTCTACAAAAAATACGTACATACAGGTATACACTCATGGATATGAATTAAGGATATTAAATAGAGTTTACTGATAACAGTTTAAATGTTGATCGTTTTGAAGAGTAAGTGTTAAGAATCGACTATTTCGAGCCCATTAATCCCCGGAAGAATGAAAAACTAAAGGTTAAGATTCAAGTTTGCTGTAAAACTTTCTTCTATGGTTGCCAAGAAACGTATCTACCTGTAGATATGCAAATTGAGCAATATATTCAGTAGCCAAAGTAAATATCACAGCGATTATATGAATAACATATTATGTACAATGTCAACACAATGAGTACATTGACTTAACCCAAAGGTTATATCATTGTATACATGGGATTAACTCACCGTCCTCAAGATATTGATATAAACGAAAAAAATGGTTTCATGTACAAATGTTAAGAAAAAAGAATAATATAAACTATAAAATTAGGACTTAAAGGCCAGAGAGTAGTCGTCTAGTCACCGTTGCTCTCTGTAACACATAGATGAGGTGTCAGATGTTGGACCAAGGGACTATCTGTCTATATCCAAGGCATCTACGTAAGTCGTGAAAATTTGGAACAGAGTTGACCAATGAAATTAACATTAGCGTTACCTAAAAAAAAATATTGTTACCAGCATCTCCTGAGAGGCATAATGCTGTGATCTGTCTGGTAAGGGTGGTCAGAACACTCTTCCTATGGTGGCTGTGCTAACGCCTGGGGAATGCCAACGTGGACTGAGAGTATATTGGTTATACTAAACATTAAGCCGTGGTTAGCTTGTATGGTTAGCAGTCTCTCTCTCTCTCTCTCTCTCTCTCTCTCTCTCTCTCTCTCTCTCTCTCTCTCTCTCTCTCTCTCTCTCTCTCTCTCTCTCTCCAAATAAAATGTTTCGTTGTTGAATAAGAAAACAAATAAAAGGCACATTTGTCGAATCAAGTCATTTAGAAATGTTTTGATATTAATGATTTCTTTATCAACCAACCAAAATTCCTCCTTTCATATCTCAGGGTTGGCGACCACAGCCTTTTCCCAACCAAACGTTTTCGGAAATTCTTTGTAAATCCCTGACTAAAGTTTACTGTGCCGACAGTTCTATAAGAAAATCCTTAACTGGGAGAAACTGACTCTGAATGATGTATAATCCCTCCCCCACCCCACCCCACCCCGCTGGAGCACAACTGCAGTATATGAGTTGGTGCGGGTCTTCGTATCATTATCATTATCATTATTATTATTATTATTATTATTTGTCCTCATCTTCTGCACTTTATTATCTCTGGTATATCCAAAATTTATTAGTTCTCAGTATTTCACACTATCCTCTGCACCCTGAAAGAATCATTATTTGTGCCCACGTTAGAAAAACAAGAAGTGAACGACAGGTTCAGTGCCCACCTGGAATTTTTCACATGACAGCATTCATTCGTGCGTGATGACAGGTGAGTGACATCTCGTCATATGTAATGCTGATTCGATGATGTATCAACAAACAATGTTGCTATCTTTACTATAACATTTTTGCTAGGAATATGCTAGGAATTTTTCGTGTATTTTCAGAGGGATTTTTGTGTGAGATTGCTGCGACTTTGATTTTCCATGATTTTTTTTACTCTTTGGTAAAGTTTCATTTGTTATTTTGTTAGTATTTTTTCTTTCTTTCTTTGCTGGGTCTTTTGTTGATTTTCTATTTTTTTTTTAAATTTAGTAGGACATAAATGGTGTTTGCCCATGACATTTTTGGCATTTTTCTAGGACCTTATTATTTGTGGTTAGGACTGATTTGTTGTTTTACTATGACTTTAATGTGATTAGAATAGGAATATTTTACAATGTTACTAATACTCTTTTGTGATTTAAAAATAATTTTAATTTTTATTGGATATAATCTATTTTCTATGATATTCCTGTTGATTTGTTGGGACAATTTGCTAGGTTAGGTTAGGTTAGGTTAGGACAGGACAATTTTCTCCATCATTATTTTCCCAAGGCTTTTTAATACCTTTTCTGTTGACTTTTTTAGTGTACAATAATTTATTTGAACTTCCGATTTGATTGACTTATTTCCGAAGACTTCAGTTAAGAATAGCGGCGACCTAAGTCTAATTCTACTAAACAATTACGGCCTAAATTGATATTACAGATATTTCTTCTCTCAGTGATATATACCGCGAGATATTAAGGTGGAGAGAGAGAGAGAGAGAGAGAGAGAGAGAGAGATTATTCTCACTGGGTACCTATGGTTTTGTATCAGGAAATCCATTTTCATCTCCATACAGGAAACAGACAAACAAACAAATATATAAATATATATATATATATATATATATATATATATATATATATATATATATATATATATATATATATATATATATATATATATATATATATATATATATATATATATATATATATAGATATATATATATATATAGATATATATATTACACGCGAGTATACGCGATTAATACTGTCCACGGGAGGTGAAGTCAGCCGTCAACAACACTGACGCAGCTCATAAAGTTGCTGGTGAAATTAATGAGCTCCACTCCTAATAGGCCATCGAGACCCATTACAGCAGAGATTTGCTTGGATTGTGGGAAATTAGGATCCGAGATTAATGAAGGCTTGCAGTTTAAATTTCAATTCAAGTTCTTTAAGGCTAAGGCCCCATTTGAGAGGAACGACACCACACAATAACACTCGTAAGACCTGATGGGCGTGTTTACTGAGGTTCTGACTGTAATATTGTTCTATGTATATCAAAGACGGCTGTGTTGACATATTCCAGCGGTAATAGGGAAGATTGTTTATATCAAATATATGTCTATCTCTCTCCATATGTCTGCCTATCTCCCTCTGACTCTCCAACTCTGTCTCTGCCTGCCTGCCTGCCTGCCTGCCTGCCTGCCTGCCTGCCTGCCTGAAATAATATGGATTTATTCATTCTTCGTTGACAATTCTATTCTATTGCTGACGTACAGATAATTTATTCAATTGGTCTCAACTTGTTGCAAAATGTCTCTTTCCACTTAACATATTTGGGGCAGGGGATGAGATAACGTTTCCTGTATAAGCAAAACAAAACCGAGAGGAAAATACAGATGTGATTGTAATGTTGACGGTCCTACACTTATCCTGCTCTACTTTGGTTCCTCTTGAAGAAAGTTCTCACAGTTTAGGGTCATCGTTATAAAGTGGGAGGAAAGAGGTGTTAGGTGAGCATGGTTGAGGGTCGTCATTAGGTTACAAGGAATTCCAGTTAGAGCTCTGACATAAGACCCAGGAGAGTGACATGGTCAAAAGAGGTGTGGGAATTTCCTCTTTTTTTTATGCTAAGTGAAACTGGTAATCATCGGATAAGTTTAAAGTCCACGAAATAAATCCCGCCTCTATGTGATACCGCGAAAGAATGTCACACCTGGATATGATCCCACAGGAGTAATTCCCGAAGGTGTAAATCCCACTAGATTCAATTTCACGGGAGGAAAATTTCACTGGGAGAAATATATCAAGAGACAACCGCCCCGAACAATATACAACGGAAGACATTTTCTCCGACAAAAACCCTACAGGAAGAAAAATCCAACTGGAGAAAATACTACTGTACAATATCGTAAAGGAAGAAAAAAAAAACACCGGGGTAAATCCCACGGGACAATATATAAGGCGAGGAAAAAATAAAAAAAAATAAAAAAAATAAATGTCACAGGGAACGAATACCGGAGAGAAAACATTAAACAGAGGAAAAGTGACGCAACACTGCCGTAACACACCAAACAAAAATACCTTACCTAACCTAACCACACCCACACTAACCTTTCCCACTTTATTTAGGAATTACATTATTTGCTTCAAGGAATACGTCTGATAGGATGTTTTTCCGAGGTCGAGTTTACCTGTGCAGTGGATCAATACTGAAGGATCCAGGTGGCGGTGGTGGTGGCGGTAGTGTGGTAGTGGTGGTGTGGTGGTAGAGATGGTAAAAGTGGTTGTGGTAATGATGGTAATAGTAGTGGTGGTGGTACTGGTGATAGTAGTGGTAGTGATGGTGGTAGTCATGGTAATAGTGGCGATGGTAATAGTGGTGGCAGTAATGGTGGTGGTGGTGATAATAGTATTGGTAGTGATGGTGTTGGTGATAGTATTAGTGATGGTGTTGGTGATAGTATTAATGGTGGTGTTGGTGATAGTATTAATGGTGGTGTTGGTGATAGTATTAATGGTGGTGTTGGTAATAGTATTAATGGTGGTGTTGGTGATAGTATTAATGGTGGTGTTGGTGATAGTATTAATGGTGGTGTTGGTGATAGCAGCGGTGGTTGTATAAACATGATTCTGGTGATACTCTTTGTGAAGTTTGTTTTGGTTGTAATTATTATGATTAGATTCACTCCCTGGATAACTACTGTCAACTTGGCTGTAAATGAATAGCTAACCTGTGACACTAAAGCGCCTCATTTCAATCATATCTCTACACGATTTCA